CATACTTCTAAATAGATGATGTTTTAAAAATCAAAATATATAATCTTTCCTTAATGGAAATTTTCACTCAAGAGGATATTTAGGTATTGACTGAAAGCGTCCCATAAGATGCCTATAAAGTGCTATAATTTTCAGCCCTGATCTGCTTTACCTCATCCAGAAAAATCAGGCTTAAAGTAATTTGTCCATAATACATGGACAAATGTATTATGGTCAGATATAATACATGATATATTAAGAAATTCTAATTAAAAAACAAATCCTGTTCATACTCATGTCAATCAAATATAATATATATACATTTTGACAGTTTCCACTGTCTTTTACTAACTTGTGGTGATTTTTTTTGGTCTCCATTAGCTCAAATGTTGTGGTGTGAAGAACTACACGGACTGGCTGGAAACCACCTGGTTTAATAAAAGTGGAGGGCTCAGGTTTCCTTACAGTTGCTGCAACGTTACTTTCCCCACTTGTAATGGCACTGTTTACCAGCCATGGCAAATTTACACACAGGTAGACATGTGCATCCTGATAAATTCATCAAGCTTCTTCATGAAGGTTTGATTAGACCCATCTGTTTCTCTGATTTTCTTGTTCATTGACTCAATCTTTCAGGGCTGCCAAGAGGAGCTGTCGAAGGTCATACAGTTTGCGCTGAAAATGGACATGTGGAGCTCCCTATTGGTTTATGTGGTGGAGGTTTGAAAGACTTTAAACATTTCTGAACTGCATATTGTGTATACATTGCATATAAAATGCACACCTGAAAGAAAAATGAAACACTGGGAGACTGTTATCATGAGAGCAAGCTTTAATCTTATCTTTAATTTTAGTTTGGCCAAATATTTAGCACAATATCTAATATGTAAATTCAATTTTATTTATACAGCGCCAAATCACAACAACAGTCACCTCAAGGTGGTTTATATTGTAAGGGAGACACTATAATAATACATACAGAGAAAAACCGAACAATCATATGACCCCCTATGGGCAAGTACTTTGGTGACAGTGGGAAGGAAAAACTCCCTTTTAACAGGAAGAAACCTCCAGCAGGCCAGGCTCAGGGAAGGGTGGCCATCTTTCTTCCACATGCTGTGGAAAAGAACAAGAGATTAATAACCAGTATGATGTCAGAAAATAGACAAATGCACAACAAAATTTCCAAAGCCTGGACTGACATATTGAATTGACCTATTTTGTCAAACAAAAAAATCTAAAATCCAACTCAATTAGTAGCAACCTTTTAACATTAAGGACTGTTTACAAAGATGTGCTGCCAGCTGGATGCCGAGTAAAGCTCAACAACTTTCAGGTCCTAAGCTTATGACATTGGAAATAACATTTCACTGCGCACCATTATCACTGCCTGTGTGGAAGTCCATTTGACATATAGTGTTATTTATTCCATTGGCAAAATAAAAATGTTGTTTAAAGCAGTCGTTAAAAACATGAACAATAATTTGATAGTTTTTTATTAAAATCTTTAAAATGTGTCACATTTTAATGAATATTTAAACTTTTTACACTCCATTTTCTCTACATCACACATGTTAACTAAGGTGGTTAACGACATAAAAGCTCATCTGTTACAATGATAAATCCACCTAAACATCTTCTGCATCTGCATCATGCAATTTATAAATGGTTTTACTTCATTTAGTGGTGTTAGATTGAGCTTTTAATTATAAATTCTTACACATGTTTAACACAGGCTGCAGAAGGTGATTATTTGCCAATAACCAAAATCCTGCTCTTTTTCTTTCTTCTCCTGCAGATTGGGTTGTTTGTGATGGTGAAACAGCTCATGAGAACAAATAGATCTACGAGGTACCAAGTACTGGAGAAAAACTAAAGATGCTCTAATGGATGGAAGATCACTACACTTTGAATAGATATAGTTCAAATCTCAAAACTATTGAGTCATTTGCCGGTACACTATGAAACATGTAAAACTGGAGAAAGTCGTTTTTTGTAATACATGTACAGATGTCTATTGTTATCATTGGATTGTCTGTCACCAAAAGACTGACAGTTTTTTGCAATAAACATTAGAATCAGAATACTTTAATAATCCCTAAAGAACTTATGTAATTATGTAAACATACTGCAGAACTGGCCTGTGTGGACTTCTGGCCTGACAAAATGTAGGCAAAGATGGGGCAAAGGGCTTAGAGATATATCCTAAATTAGGTTTGATGAATATGAGTTACT